ACACAACATCGAAATTGAAACAACAACGCCCCAAAATCAAGTATATGTTAGCCGAAAAACTATCATGTTATCCGAAATAAATCAACATGCTAACTTTTATAAATGAGTTATAACTAAGTTATAACTCCGCCTAACAGTTACTAACTTCAAATGCCTTCAGGCATCCTCACAAAACCGGCCCCGGGGGAGGAGCCCAGAGCGGCCTCCGGCACCGTTTCCGGACAGATCCGGTGGATCCGCCGACGAATCCCAAACCGGCGCCCTCGCTTGAGACATCCTCACAAAACCGGCCCCGGGGGAGGTGCCCAGAGGAGCCCAGAGCGGCCTCCGGCACCGTTTCCGGACAGATCCGCTGGATCCGCTGGATCCGGTGACGAATCCCAAACCGGCGCCCTCGCTTGAGACATCCTCACAAAACCGGCCCCGGGGGAGGTGCCCAGAGGAGCCCAGAGCGGCCTCCGGCACCGTTTCCGGACAGATCCGGTGGATCCGGTGGATCCGGTGGATCCGCCGAATCCCAAACCGGCGCCCTCGCTTGAGACATCCTCACAAAACCGGCCCCGGGGGAGGTGCCCAGAGGAGCCCAGAGCGGCCTCCGGCACCGTTTCCGGACAGATCCGGTGGATCCGGTGACGAATCCCAAACCGGCGCCCTCGCTTGAGACATCCTCACAAAACCGGCCCCGGGGGAGGTGCCCAGAGGAGCCCAGAGCGGCCTCCGGCACCGTTTCCGGACAGATCCGCTGGATCCGCTGGATCCGCTGGATCCGGTGACGAATCCCAAACCGGCGCCCTCGCTTGAGACATCCTCACAAAACCGGCCCCGGGGGAGGTGCCCAGAGGAGCCCAGAGCGGCCTCCGGCACCGTTTCCGGAATCCGCTGGATCCGCTGACGAATCCCAAACCGGCGCCCTCGCTTGAGACATCCTCACAAAACCGGCCCCGGGGGAGGTGCCCAGAGGAGCCCAGAGCGGCCTCCGGCACCGTTTCCGGACAGATCCGGTGGATCCGGTGGATCCGCCGACGAATCCCAAACCGGCGCCCTCGCTTGAGACATCCTCACAAAACCGGCCCCGGGGGAGGTGCCCAGAGGAGCCCAGAGCGGCCTCCGGCACCGTTTCCGGACAGATCCGGTGGATCCGCTGGATCCGCTGGATCCGGTGACGAATCCCAAACCGGCGCCCTCGCTTGAGACATCCTCACAAAACCGGCCCCGGGGGAGGTGCCCAGAGGAGCCCAGAGCGGCCTCCGGCACCGTTTCCGGACAGATCCGCTGGATCCGGTGACGAATCCCAAACCGGCGCCCTCGCTTGAGACATCCTCACAAAACCGGCCCCGGGGGAGGTGCCCAGAGGAGCCCAGAGCGGCCTCCGGCACCGTTTCCGGACAGATCCGGTGGATCCGGTGGATCCGCCGACGAATCCCAAACCGGCGCCCTCGCTTGAGACATCCTCACAAAACCGGCCCCGGGGGAGGTGCCCAGAGGAGCCCAGAGCGGCCTCCGGCACCGTTTCCGGACAGATCCGGACAGATCCGGTGGATCCGCGCCCCGGGGGAGGTGCCCAGAGGAGGAATGAGGAGGAGGAGGAGGAGGAGGAGGAGGAGGAGGAGGAGGAGGAGGAGGAGGAGGAGGAGGAAGATGATGGAGCTGTGGGGTGGAGGAGGACAGACGGAGGCAAGAGAAGGATGGAGGAGGAGGAGGAGGAGGAGGAGGAGGAGGAGGAGGAGGAGGAGGAACCTCATCCTCACCCTCGCCAACAGGCGCACGCACCTTCTTCTATATACAGAAACTCCCGATCAACCGCAGAGCGGCCGGCTAGTAATCATGTCTGCACGTTGCGCTGGCCTTTCCCGCATGACCTTGCGGCTCTCCTGATTTCGTTGGCCTCCACTGCATCGGTACCAAACCCCATCGTGTTTAACCCGGTGCGTACCTCGTCGGTGTTCAAAATATCCTAGTAATTGTCTACCTGCTGGGGTGTATTTGCTTCCATGTTCTCGCCACCACCTCTGGTGTCGAGAAAGGGTCACTTCTGCAGTGCCATGCGAGCCTGGAGCGTCTAGAGACCACGCTCGGAGACCACTCCCTGCGCACCCCCTCTAGAATCGAGAAAGTGCCACGCCTGCCATGCAATGCGAGCCTGGAGCGTATAGAGACCGCGCTGCATGACCACCCCCTGCATGCCATGCCTGCCGTGCCCTGCCAGCCTGGAGCGTATAGAGACCGCGCTCAGAAAGCAGCCCCTGCGCAGCCCCTCTAGAATCGAGAAAATGCCACGCCTGCCGTGCCCTGCCAGCCTGGAGCGTATAGAAACCGCGCTGAAGGACCACCCCCTGCGCACCCCCTCTGGTGTTAAGAATCTGCCATGCCTGCCGTGCCCTGCGATCCTGGAGCTTATAGAGACCGCGTTCAAGGACCACCCCCTGCTCAGCCCCTGTGGTGTCGAGAAAATGCCGCGCCTGCCACGCCCTGCGAGCCTGGAGCGTATAGAGACCGCGCTCAAGGATCACCCCCTGCGGACCTCCTCCGGTGTCGAGAAATGCCACGCCTGCCACGCCCTGCGAGCCTGGAGCGTATAGAGACCGCGCTCAAGGATCACCCCCTGCGGACCTCCTCCGGTGTCGAGAAAATGCCACGCCTGCCACACCCTGCGAGATTGGAGCGTATAGAGACTGCGATCAAGCATCACCCCCTGCGGACCTCCTCCGGTGTCGAGAAAATGCCACGCCTGCCGCGGCCTGCGAGAATATGCAGCGCCTGCCGTGCCCTGCGAGCCTGGAGCGTATAGGGACCGCGCTGAGGGACCACCCCACCCCCTGCGCACCCCCTCTGGTGTCAACCGTATGCCATGCCAGCCGTGGCCTGCGAGTCTGGAGCGCATAGAGACCGCGCTCAGAGACCAGCCCCTGCGCATTCCTTCTGGTGTCGAGAAAGTGCCATGTCTGCTGTGCTTTGGGGGCCTGGAGCGTACAGAACCCGCGTTCAGGGACCATCCCCTGCGCACCGCCTGGCGCCGAGAAGATGCCACGCCTGCCACGTCATGCGAGTCTTGCGCGTGTGTGTTGTGTTACGTGCGCGTCCTGTGGATGTGTATGTGTTGCATGTGTGGGTATGGTGCGCATGCCATATGACCGCCTAGGTCAGCGCACGCGTCTTTTGTATGTGTATGATGTGTGTGTATGTGTGTGTGTGTGTGTGTGTGAGGTTGGTTGGTTGGCGTGTGTGCGCGGCTGTAGATGCGTGTGTAACAGATGCGTGGTCCGTATGTGTCTGTGTGTACGTGTGCTACATGTGTGCCGCATGTTTGTTGTGTGCATGTGCGCTGCGTAAACGTACTCTTTGCACATGCATGCGTTTGTGTCAGATGCGCGCGCGAGTGCAGGTGTGAAGGAGAGGGAGGAGGTGTGTGCGGTGAGCGCCGCGGGTGGGACGCGGGAGGGAAGAAAGCCAGAACCCACCAAACATGTGGAGAATAGAGAAAGGGCTTCACAGATGGAGGGCGGAGCGATTCCCAAATGTGTCTCTCGCCTGATCCCTGCGCGCATTCGATTTTACAATTTGCAAGAGCTTAACGGATTGAGGGAGTGATTTTCAAAATGTGGCTCTCGCCTTAGCGCCGCGCGCATTCGTGTCACACAGTTGCAAGAGTTTCACGGAGTGAGGGCGGTTTCTTTTAAACATGTGGCTCTCGCTTCAGCGCCGCGCATACTCACGCTGAACACTTGCAACAACGTCACTGACTCTCATTGTGAACGTACCAAGAATCGAGTTTTTGAAACGATTCAGGACTGTCAGGGCGCAACAGTTTTGTTGATTCGAGGTGCTGAAGTCCCAGGGGCGGCGTTCTGGTACGATTCAGGATCGCCAAGACGTAACAGTCAGGTTAACTCGTGGCGTTGAAGTCCTGAAAATGGTGTTCTGGCACGCTTCAAGATGTTCACACGGTTGCCCCCCCCTCTCACAGCAATTCACTGTGGAAGTGGCCCTTTTGTAGGGGCCCGTGACGAAGGATCTTGGAGGGAGGGTGCATTATTTCGACATCCTTGATAAGTCTTAGGTGAGCACTGGTTTTCCTCCTCCTCCTCCTCCTGATCTTCCCCGCCACCCTCCCCCAAAGGTTCCCCAAAAGGTTTCCACACCGGCTGGGGGAACACATTGTCAGATAGCTTGACAGAGCTTTGGCCGCAACGCTCAGACACATGGGTGATTCCACACGGCAGGGGGCGGCGGTGATTCGCCGTAAGCATCTTCGATCGGAATTCGACAGGGACTTGGTGACAGAGGGTCTCACGAGCTTCTTTGTTTCGTGGACCCCAAACTGCGATGCTGAGTTTGAACTCGCCTCCGACGTCGCAAGCAGTGGCAAGAGATCAAACTCACGAGCTGACCCAGAGTTGCACGTTTCCTACACAGAATCAGATGGGGGATGCAGTTCTCATGTTTAGCCCCTCCCAGGGCGTTCCGCCAGATGGCTCTGATATGTCTGACCCTCCACCCGCAGCGGGTTGACGTCGACCGAGCAGTGGCTCGCGCCGTGCCGCGCGAGCCCCGGCGCGCGCCAACGTGGAACACCGGGCCCGCGCGTCCTTTGCGGCGCCCGGAGGCCAGCTCCACATCAGGGGCCCTTTCCGAGGAGCCTTCGGAGGTTTGGCCTCCTTCCTCCTCCTTTCTACTGCCTCGCCATCTGTCTTGGCCCTGCAGCCTCGCATAGGTCCACAGACCTCCCTGGCGGATCCCGCAGATGGCGCAGGAACAGCGCAGGACCGCCCCAGGGCGGCCCCAAGGCCCAAGACAGCCAAAGATAGCCTTTCTTCTCCCTTCATTTCCTTGTTTAGTACATATATAAATGGTCTCGCGAGCCTGATTGGTATGCATCGGGTACACCCCGTGTCGCGCCTGCGTGCGACGACGACGACCACCCCCATCCCCCTTCCTCGTCCTCCCCAGGACGCAGTCAGACACTGCAGGCCCTCTACGACTGCTGAGAAGGGGAGGGGCGCCGAAGGCAGCGACCGCCGCCGAGGCTTGGCCGCGCCAGAAGTCGGGGAGGTGGAGGCGCTAGCCGCCGCCTGGCAGGCTGGGCGGGTGGAGGACAGGAGGATGAGAGGAGAATAACAGAACGACGGGGAAGAGTGCTCCTCCTTCTCGCTCCTTCCCTCTCTCTTCCCTGCCCACCGCTCCCTAGCCCTCTTACTCGTCATCCTCCTTCTCCCCCACTTCCTTCTCCCTTTCGGCCCCCTTGGAAAGCAGCGGACGGGGCTCGCGCCCGCGAGGGAAGATCTGGCGTCGAACGAACGGGAGAGAACGCAGGCGGGGGACTGGGGAGGACGACAATGTGGATGGTTGAATGCGCTAATCGGCGTGAGCCTTCCATCGTTGTGCAGGGGCCATGCCAGTCTTCCCTGCACCGTATCAACTCTGACGGATGATCCCCGAAGGATATCCGATGGTGATGTTGATGACGATGACAATGGCGATGAGGAGGAAGACACGATTGGCACCGCCGCGCGGAGCACCAGCGAACACACAACAACATGCTGCGCATCCAGCGGCTGCTCACACATCCAACGACAAGAGATCGCGGCACAGAGCAGAGACGTGGAGCAACGCTCGCCGCAGAGCGAGGAGCAGCACAACGACGCGGCGCGGCTGAAAGCACGACTGCGAGAAGAGTAGACAGCGGAGCAGCGGGCGAGCTCCGAGAGGGAGGAGACACAACTGGCGAAAGGCAGGCACAGCTGCAGGGAGACCACAAATGACTGGCTCATGCGTACGCGGCTGGTGCATCAGGCATCTGGCATGCAACGATGCCGAGAGCAATAGCTCCGCCCGCCGGGCCTTGCGTTCACACATAATGTGCCAGTGTTTTCGCATGATGTCGGTCGTGATGATGATGGTGGTGAGTGATGGCGACGATGATGACGCGCTCATTGGACGCGGCTAGCAGTGCTGGGGGCGCGCGGACATGAGGGCGAGGAGTGAAGGATGGATGGATGGATGGGGGAGGGGAGGAATGGAAGGGCTGGGACGTCGGACGCAGTGTAGTCGTAGATTGCATACAAGAGCGCGCGGTTTGCGCGCACTGAGGTTCTGGCGCAGACGAGGGAGCTGCCACATCAAACCTTACTCATGCCACGGTGCCTCATGGGGTTGGCGTCTGTCTGCGCTAGCTGTGCGCCATCGGTTTGTTCCAATCCACTGCCTTACCTCATCCATCAACATCCGACTCTTGACCCCTCCTCATGCTCATCACATCGTCTGGTTTGACCCGCCTGCCCTAGCTTGTCCTTATTTGCTTCTCTCGCCGTCCTCCTCCTCCTCCTCCTCCTCTTGCTGCTGCGGACCTCCATGCTGCCAACTCGCTACGTGGTTATGTTCTGCCCCTGTCAGCCACGGCCGTGGTTCGTCAGTCTGCACTCCTGATATATACCTCCCGCGCCTCGCTCATGGCACCTGCTCCCGAAGCGGGCGATCAGGGAAATTGATCGAAGGCACTTCCCTCATCCCACTCACACCCCTACTCCCGCCACCACCCTTGTTCTGACTCCATTTGCCCTCCCGGCCTTCTCGCTTTTCCTCCCTCTCCGCCTCGTCCTCATCCTCCGTATCAGAGTGAGGGGGCCGAACGGTCATTCATTGTCCCTGTGCGCGTGGGTGAAGTATGATTCCGCTGCGCGGATTCTCGCTGTTGCGTTGCGTTGCGTTGTTTGGGTGCTGTGTTGATTCCCCACTTTCGATGCCCATTGTTCGTTTTCAATTGAGGTGCCCCTCATGGAACTCGCGCCCTTTCCCCGCGCAACTATTGCACTTAGAGGTTCTTACTTCTGTTCCATGGAGTTGGGTCGGTGTGTCGGTCTGGCGGCTATCTAGCCGTCGTCGCCGCCCCGTCGCCACCTCGTCGCCGCCCGTCGTCTAGGTCTGTGTGTCGGTCAGGCGGCTATGTAGCCGGCGTCGCCGCCCCGTCGCCGCCTCGTCGCCGCCCGTCGCCTGGGCACGTCTGCCTGTCAGGCGGCTGTGTCCGCCATCGCCGCCCTGGTCGCCGCCCGTCGTCTGGGCCTGTCTGCGGGTCTGGCGGCTATGTTGCCGCTGTCGCCGCCCGGTCGCCGCCCAGCCGCCGCCTTGATTTGTATCGTAGAAGTAATGTCTTATATCCCCCCCTGGGGTTAACGCGTCGCCTTTTTCCGTGTTTTGCCTGAATGATACTACAAATCATGAGTTCATATTATCCCAAGCAGTCCACTTGTCGACCGTTGCCTCCTCCCTTTCCAAAAATTTCATGCGGAACATATTCGTTGATCAAATGTACACGTTCCACGAATCCGTATCAAATAAAATCATGCGGGCCACATGCGCGCGGCCGTTGCGCGAGCATGTCAACACTTGTCCAAACCAAACGCATATGCATCAATTCTAAAAAAATAATTTGGCAAAATCGCACAGGTCATACTATACTTCTTCACTGCGCAAATACATACACCCATACATCTATGTATACACATACATATACATATTCCCATCCGTATACATACACAAACATGGAGAACCATACATAGATACACTCATATACATCGATATGTCAACATCTATATCAAAATGGGGGGATCGAACGGTCATTCACTGTCCCTGGGTGCGTGTTTGAACTGGGGAGCCATGGCGACGATTATGTTTGTTGTTTTGTTGCGTCGTCCCCACCGAAACCATGCCGCGACCCACCCGCGACCCACCCGCGATCCACCCATCGACCCACCCGCGACCCACCCGCGACCCACCCCGCGACCCACCCACGACCCACCCACGACCCACCCGCGAAAAACTCGCAACCCACCCGCGACCCACCCGCGGCCCACCCGCCCACGACCCACCCACCCACAACACACCCCGTGACCCACCCGCGACCCACCCGCGACCCACCTGCGCCCCACCCGCGACCCACCCGCGACCCACCCCGCGACCCACCCCCGACCCACCCGCGACCGACCCACTTCGCGACCCACATGCGACCCACCTGCGACCCACCCCGCGACCCACGCCATGTCGATTCTATAACAGCACAAAAAAACTGCGCATGCGGCGGGTTTCGCTGCATTGATTTAGGGGAATGCCACCACTTCGCGACCCATCACTTGCGACCCGCCCGCGACCCACCCCGCGACCGGCCCGCGACACACCCCGCGGCTTACACCACGTCGATTCTATCACAGCCAGAAAAGAGTCGGCGCCTGCACCGGGGTTTGTTGCTTTGGTTTACGGGAGCGCCACCGCCGCGCGACCCGACCGACGACCCACTCGCGACCCGCCCCGCGACCCATCCGCGACCCACCCGCGACCCACCTGCGACTCACCCGCGACCCACGCCGCGTCAGTGACGGGGCCGGACGGGCATTCACTGTCCCCGAGGGCGTGGCTGAAGTAGGGCTCCGTTCACTGTCCCTGGGTGCGTGGCCGAAGTGGGACTGCGCGGCGCGGATTCTGTTTGTTCTTGCGCTGCTGTTGTCGTCGCCCCCCCGCGACCCAGACCGAGACCGCGACCCGCCCCCGCGACCCGCCCGCGACCCACCTCGCGACCCAGCCCGCGACCCACTCGCGACCCACCTCGCGACCCACCTCGCGACCCACCCACTTCAACGAAAAGATTGGCTCCTGCGGCGGGCACGTTGTATGATTTGAGGGCAATGCGCCTGCAGCGGGCTTCTGCGCCTCGTGGACTGCCGCCGCCCCCGCCGCCCCCCCACGCGGTGCTACAAATGCAGACTTTTGCTCGCGCGTACTTTCTGAATCCTCCCAGCACCAATGGTCTTTCTTACATTCCTTTAGCGTGGCCGCGAGGACAACTTGCGCGCGCGCGTCGAACTCATACAACTGCGCTCGCGCACTGGCCAGGTCCACGACGACCCGTCAAATGACACCATGGGTGCCATGCGCGCGTCTGCCGCGCACGGGCGCGTTGAAATCCCCCCGCAATCTCCGCCGCCGACGCGTGAACGCCATCATCGTCATCGGCGCGATCAGCATCGGCGCCCTCGTTGGCCTCGCCGCCGTAATCGTCGTCATTGTCACCCTCGCCGCTGCAATCATCGCGCTCGTCTGTGTCGACGTTGCCAAGATACGGCGCCCACCCGAGTCGTCGACTCGCGCTGAAGTGCCCGCGCGCCAGCACGGCCGCGTCGGTCGCGCGAAACAACCTGGCCGCTATGCGCGCGAACTTGCGCACGCTAGCGCGGCACTTGTTCTGCAAACCGAACTGCGGGTGGGTGAGCGAGGCGATTGCGCGAGCAGTGAAGTTGTCATCTTGAAGTTCAGCATAATGAAATTCATCAACATACAACGTGCGAATCTACCCCCGTCCCCCACTCCCCTGGGATGACCGCGTCGACTGTTTCGAACCGGTCGTCCCATATGGTTCTGCGCACTCGCCCATCCGAAATATGAACGCAGACTATCCCAGGCAGTCCCATCATCGCCGCGCCCCCCACCCCACCCCACCATCCTCTGCAACAACGATGAGGACCTCGCGCGAGCCGGAATCTTTCAGAAACCTTCTGCGTCGCAGCAATTTCAACGCCGAGCGCCCCAATAATACATGGAGGACGCGTGGTTGTGCCACGTGACTTTGCAGACAGGTCTGCGTGCGCGTTCTGTTGAAGTCCAAAGCAAACCACTGGCTTTTCAACGTCGTCATCGCTGTCCACCGAACGTGCCTCTCGCGCACGCAAATGGAAATCGTCCGAACGCCCGCGCACGCGTGCTGGGGCCCCTGCTGGGGGGCGGGGGGTGGGGCGCGATCCCTGTCAAATAACACCGCGCGGGCCACTCGCGCCCGTAGGCCGCGCGCGCATGTCGAAATCCTCTCTTGCAGCCGTCATCGCCGACGCGTGGGCGCCATCGTCATCGGTGCGACCGGCATCAGAAGCCGTCGGTGGCCAGGCCGTCGTCGTCGTCATCGTCGTCGCAACCATCGACGGGGCGATCGTCGCATCTGCTGCTGTCGACGTTGCCGCGATGCCGCGCCCGCGCGAGTCACCGACTCGCGCACGTACCCGCGCGCCAGCGCGGCCTGCGAGACGCGCCGGGAAGTGCCCAGCGGCCAGCGCCGCCGCGGCCGCATCGGTCGCGCCAGGCCAGCCAGCCGCGAGCGCGCGCGCGGCCGCGCGGCCGCAGCGACGCGCCAGCCAGCGCTGGGCAGTCACCGCCATCGCCACCGCGTGCAAGTTGCGGGCGGGTGGGATAATTGCGCGAGCAACAAGTTTGACGACACATTGCGAACAAAAACAAATTCTCCGAGAAAACAATGAGGATCTACCACCACCCACCCGCGAATCTTTCGGCGGGCCCGCCCGGGAGATCTCGATGCACGGCGCCCGCGCGAGCCGCTCGGACCCTGCCTCCGAGGCCGTCAGCGGAGCTCCACAGGCGTGTACCGACAGGGGTGCGGCAGCGCCATGCTGACCCTGCCGTTGGGGCCTTCGGTGGAGGTGCCTATGGGGCCGCGGAGCGCGTGAGGCGCGCGCCGAAATCGGCGCGGCGGCGCCGCGCGGGCCCTGCCACTGGGGTTTTCGGTTGAGCTCTATGGGGCCAAGAAGCGTGTGAGGGATGTGTAGAAATGACCACGGTGGCGCCATGCGGATCCTGCCACTGGGGCCTTCGGAGGAGCTCCCTATGGGGCCACGGAACACGAGAGGGGTGCGCCGAAATGGGCATGGGAAGGATGAGTCGGGAACGGGACTTCCTTTTCCCCCACATCAACTGGCTGGCGATATTTTGAGTGGTTCCACGGAGCGTTCAGAGCAACAGCGTCCTATGTAGACTCCACACACGATCGCGCTCCTGTGTCACATCATATTCGTTCTTGGGTGGGCCCGTTGACATTATCACATGTTGCAAATTTGTTTGGTACACCCATGGGATGTATTATATGTTTGGGGAATTGGCGGTCGTCATGGAGTCTCTTTCCGGGCCCAAAGAATTCGTCGACTGACCCGAAACATCCTAGGGTCCATGTCCAGAGCCTGGGGACCCCGCCCAACAGCCCTTGTAACCCCATGAGTGGAAGTGGGGTACAGATCGCATTGCTGGATCCCTCCGTCTACTCTGGAGCAGTCAAACAGTGCACCAAAGCTTGGCGCCGTGCACCTTGCTCATCACAGTTTCGAAACAAAGGGGAAGGAGCGTACAAACGGGCAGAAGGTCGCGTCACGATGCGGCAACGCACTGCGCTCAAATTTGGCAGCGCAACGGCAGCTACGCTAATTTCCGAAACCAGTCTAGACAGCATTAACCAAAGAAGCCACACGGCAAAGCTCGGATTCCTTTCGATATGCGGGATGCACGCTTGGACGGGCGATCGGCGACAGAACCCTTGTCCTTTTGTTCGCCTCGCCTTCCCCATCTCTTGTCCGCTCCTCTTTTGGCAGTCAACATGTTCTCACTTGTATGACAAACATTACGCATTCCTCTTCGTCTTGTTCCTCCTTCGCCTTCCCGTGTCCCTCTTCATGCTGATGCCCGTGTTCCGAATGCCCCTTCTTAACCGCCTCTGCCTCCTCTTCATCGCCCTCCTTCCTCCCTCTTCCCAGGCTTTCCCCTGCTCGTTCCCTATCCTCTTTCTTCTTCTTGTCCTCCCTCTTCGGGCTGTCACGGGGCGCTCTGGGGGCTGCCTTCGTGCCCCCTTCGTGACCAACCAGGCCTTCTCAGGAGCCTCATGGGACCGTTTCGGAGGCCGCCTGGGCCGTTTTGTACCGTGGGGACGGTCGCGGCCACCGCCACAACGCAGCATGGCCCGTGGGGCTCCGCCTCGCACGGCCTCGCGTTCCTGCGCGTGCACCGTCCTCGTCGTCGTCGTCCTCCTCCTCCTCCTGCTCCTCCTTTCGGGTCCGAGCGGCCTCCATACTCGGGGCGCGCACGGGCGTTTCGAGCGCCAGCTTCGGAATGGCCTCGGGCTCAAGACACATAGGGAGGCGCGGCGCCCAACCTCATCAGCTACAGTGCTGAGATCAGACTCGCGCGATGCCGACAGCAGGAATGCCCTTCCCCGTTTCATATTCGCTCTTTCCCAAGCAGCGCCAGTCACATTGGGGCTGGCCCACCAGTGCAGGACCATTTCGCGCGACTATTGCGGCGAGAACGGGCGAGACAACGGCATCAGCTGCAGACCTGACACCAGCTCGTGCGGGAGACGGGGTACAAGAGCAACAATCATCAACTACAACGCTGGGACAGGCTCATGCAAGAAGGCAGGCCAGCGAGAGCCACCCGTCAGCTACAACGCTGCGAGCGGCTTATGCACAATGGCAGGCAATGGTGCTGGCATATTGTGGGCACCGCACCCAGCCGTCCTCCGCTGCAGTGCTGGAGTGGGCGCCGGCGAAAAAGGCCAACAATGGCAGCACCTGGCACTGTGAAAAAGACGTACGGGGGGGCGGACGCCCAGCTGCAGAGCGGGGAGCAACTCGCGTGAGAAAACGGACGCGGGAGAAGGCCTTTAGGTACAATAACTGAAGCAGCTCTTGCGAAAGGGCGTGTAGCGGCAGTATCTGGCACTGTGAAGTCGGAGGGAAGGGAAGGTCATCAGCTGCAATGCCGGAATCACCTCTTATGAGACGGTGTGCAGAGGCAGAAACTGGCACCGTTAGAAGGACTCAGCAGAAGGTCATCAGCTACAACGTGGGGGTCAGCTCTTGTGAGAAGCGCAGTGGCAACATCTAGGACTGTGAGAAGGCGACCACGGGAGCAGCACACCAGCCACACTGCGGGGATCAGTTCGTGCGAGAAGGCGGACGCAGAGGCCATCATTTACAATGTCAGGATTTGCTCGTGCGCGAAATGGCAAAGGGTGCGAAGGCTTGCAAGACAGCCCAAGAGGATATATGGCAGGGAGGCCATATACGCTCATGCGAGAGGGCGCAGGTAGTTGGGCACCCACCTCGAGCAGCCTCGGCGTAATCAGGGGCAGCCTTCCATTGCCACCTGTATTCGACTTTCGAATATCTGGAGATTTGCCCTGTAGAATCTTGTAAAATCCTCCTCCTCGTCCTCCGTCTTCTTCGCTGCTCCTGCTCCCTCTCGTCAATCATCATCCTCGCAACCTGCTCCCCCAGCTGCTCCTCCTACTCCACCTCGATCTTTTGCTTCTGCTCGTTCTCCTTCCCCTCGTCGGGGCCTCCCGCAAGGTCGGCATGGGCTCCCCCGGTAAGCCGGCAGGGCTGCCGCGTCGCGCGCGCGCCAGCAGGGCCTCCGGCAAGCCGGCAGGGCTGCCGCGTCGCGAACGCGCCGCTGGGGCCTCCGGCAGACCTGCAGGGCTGCCACGTCGCGAGCGCGCCGGCAGGGCCTCCGGCAAGCTCCGCTCACTCACCACTGGCGGCTCCTCTGGGGCCAAGGCAGGCTGAAGGGGTGGGGCGCTGGCGGGGGAGCTCCAGGCTGCAGGAGAGGCAGACTGAAAGAGGACGAGGAGGGCGAAGAGGAGGCTTGCTCCAGCTCCCTCTCCCCAGCATTCGCCACCGCGCAGTAGGCACGTTGGTGGAAACTCGTCCTCCATGTTTGTCGGCCCCCAGACGGCTCCAAGACAGTCAGTGGACGCGCCAAGAAGGCTGCAAGGATGCCCAACTCAATCCAAAGACGGCCTAACGATACCCGAAAGCTCCAACATTCTCTCAAGATGCTCCGAAGGGCCCCAAGAAGTCTCCAAGGGACGCCCAAAGAGGCCTCTAGCGAGGCCTATTGGCATGGCATTGAGCCCTCCAGCGAGGCCCTGGAGGCGAAGATGCTGGAGCATCTCGTTGGAAAACATGCGCTGGAGCGACACCACTCTTGGGCTTGGAAAATCTCAAACACGACGATCGTTCGGAGGGTGAGAGGGGGGGGTGCGGCGGATGGGCGTGCTGGACTTGTACCCACGTCTCGTTCTCAAAAAAGGCTACGGACGCAACGAGGATCAAAGCGTGAATATCGCCTCAACAAAATACCCCGATACATACAGATACCCCTTAAACTTCCACTAGCAGCCATAGTCCATTGACTGTTGACTGTAGGCGGCGACGGACAACGAAAACGCATAGAGCCATACTTACCTTTTCCCTTCCGATGCTTCTCGGCTTCAGATCGCCCGGGGAAGACCTCAGAGAGCGCCCATGTGCACCCAAGACGGCCCACGACAACACCACTTGCGCCCCCAAACAGCCTCAAGAGCGAAATGCTCGGCGTCTACGTGGCCTGGGTACAATCAAAGATCGGCCCCAAACGGCTGCAAGACGCCCCAAGACCATGCACGCCCTGCCCAACAAAGCTCAGAAAACTCGCAGGTTTTTCTTACGATGCCGCACGGTGCGAACTGGCTTGAAGACCTTGCAGAAACACGCTTCGCTTCCATGTCGAGGGGTTTCAGGCCGACTCGGGTGACCTTCGTAAATCCCAAACGAGCGTCCAAGAGAAACCACCGCGCCCCCCCGATACCCTCGACGAACCGGCCGCGGGCCCTCAACATGCCCTCGAGAGAGCCCACGGGGCCCTCAATAGGGCCCAGCGGCCCAAGATGCATTCCAGAAAAAAAACAAGGAGGAAACAACTATAACACAAAAACGCTGCGGGCGAGGATGGGACGTTGAAGACCAACGCCAGCTCAAACAAGGCACTGAACTGGAGCGGGTCTCAAACTTCACCTCCTGCCTGCGACGCTGCTGTGCTAGCGCGATGGCGGGGTTTGCCGCATGCGGCTGGAGATTCCTATTCCTCCTCCTCCGCCTCCTCAACATCCTCTTCTGCCTCGTCCTCCTCCAACCTCCATGCTCTTTCTTCCTCTCGTCACCCAACAACACGTTTCAATATCCTCTTCTTGCTAATTATCCCGAGGTCTTTGCTGCACCCCCTTTCCTCCGAGTCAGCCTCCCCCATCACCGTCCTCGCCTAACCGTCCAGATCGGGGTCTCCAGAAAGCGTCGTGAATGTCTGGTCACTTTGAAGGCCAGCGATTGTGCATTGTATTCTCATTATGGCAATGTCATCGACCACATTCAAATTCCCATTCCAGTCCCCCTCATCTTTGGCCAGCCACAGGTTACCCGACTCGCTGGCCTAACCCGCGCGCGCCGCGGGCCCGTCCTGCCCCGTCCAAGAATAGAGCGGCAGGGCGCTCCGCCACTCGGGTGGCTCGCTCCCGAAGGCTGGCGAACTGCTCTGTGGGCCATGCCGGCGGCCCCTGTCCGCTGGCCTGAAAAGACGTCGGGCGGCCCCTGCCCCTTGTGGCTACGGGGGGTTGGCGTTCTGCTCGAAGCGCGTTTAACTCCAGGGCGCACTCCACCCCCCCCGGCTCAAATACAGATCGGCTCCACTGCGCACCCCAATATTCCCGCAATGGGGTCCGTGAGCCCCGAAAATAAGACACTTTGGGCAAAGCAGGGCGTTGACCCACCTAGACTTGCCAACACCCCCAGCCTTGCTACAAAACCCTACCCCGACACACTTGCTATGATGAGTGCGGCCCCCATTCCTTTCAAGAGTATGGGGGCCCACCTGGCCCCCCCGAAACCTCAGAACCGACGTGTTCCTGGGCGGCTTTGAGTTCCCAGGGCTTGGGTCCGCGGGCCCAGGCTTGGTCATGCATTATGCAGCTAGGCGTCAAACTACAAACCTCATATCTTCATACTGTTTCCGGGCAACTGCGCAGCACTCGCTCAAAGAGCTGCTGCGGTCAGCAGCCCGTGATCCACCTCATCAGCAATACAGTTAGTTTGAAGAATCAAAGTGCACTGGAACAGCTGTTACTGATTCGAGGCGCCCCTGTCGCGCGTGGGTCTTCGCCGTGTCAATTGCGAAGGGTTCAGGGCGGACCACAGCAGCTACCCGGAACTGTTCCCACGCATCGGCGTTGTCGCGGTGCCGCCTCTGCCTACCTCTTTGGAAGCATAGAAAGTTACATGCTGGCTGTCTGGGGCGACGTGGACTGGGCTCTTCAGACCGAAGGCGTTGATCGCTGTAATCACTCGCTGCACGGCCCCACCGGATCGGAGATCTTGACTCAAAAGCGCAAGCCCCGACCCGCGCGTTTGAACCGTGGGTCATCACCCCATTTCCCCCTCTGATGCATCGGCGCCGACGATTCTCGAGTCGGCGAACTTGCGCAAAGCGAGAACTCGCAGGCTGCCTGTCCCTCGGAGCTCCGAACTGCCATGAACATTCGAAGCAACGTCGACCGCGCGCGCCTGAAGTCGCAACCTCCGACGACACTTGAAAAAACTAGTTTGGGCTTCAGCCACCGCCCTACTGGCTGGCGCTTTAAGGGCTCGCGGTCATACTATTCATGCCGATGCTGTTTTCATGGTTTTCAGTGGCAAGCGGGTTGGATGGCACGGAGGAGGGAGTGATGGAGGGATGAGGAGAGGGGAGAGGGCGGAGGATCGGAGCGGGAGGGGGAGGGGAGGATTTTCACTCCAGACACGCGACGTCAACTCACCGAGTATCAGGGCGGCGCCAGCCTCCACCTGTCTGCCACGACAGCCACTGGCAAAAGACGTCGCGAGGCGTCGTCTCGAGCCGCCTCCCGCGAGAGGCCAATGGCCGCCAGGGCGCCCCGAGCGAGCTAGAACGCTCATGTTCTAATGGTCGCCTGGGGCGCCCGTCGCCAAAGCGATCTCGCTCCAACGATCGGGGTCGGCCTTTGAACGCAGAATGGGCTCCACGCTCAGGCCAGAGCGCGGGGCAGAGTGTTTCAAACTTGGGTCGCGCGCCAAGAGGATGTCCGAAGCTGGCGCAGCCTCGAGGGCGCAGCGGCGCCGAGCGATCCAATCTCGAACTGCCGCGGCCCCAGGGGCGACGTCAAAATCGAGCGATCCAAAACTGGGCTGGAGCAGCCTCTGGCTCATGTAACTGAAAGCTGAAACAGCATTCGTCTGCAATTCACTCGGACATCGACTCGCTGGACTCCTCGGACTCCGACTCCCCCTCGCTCTCCTCCTCGGGCTGGTCCGCCTTGCTCTTTTTGGGCGGCGGGGCGTCGTCCTTTGTTTTGGTTTTCTTGGATTTTTTTACTGCCGCCCGCGCTCTTCGCTTTGCCACCTTTCTCTGTCTTGGGCGTTGTCTTTTTCTTAGGGTTTTTCTTTTCTTTTTTCTTCGGGCTCTTATTGTCCTTGCTCGCCGCGCCCTTATCTTTCCCCTCGTCTTCGGCTCCGTCCCGACCGTCCTTCACGATTCGCAGCGCCTGGGCCTGCAAGTACAAGGCGCGGTTGCAGAACGCCGACGCCTGGCCCGTCAGAGCGCTCTCCACGGCTTTCTCCCGCGTCGTCTTCAGGAAATGCGTCTTATGGTGTTCGTCCGCCGTCAGCGCAATGACGCTGCACCCCATTTCCAGGGCGCCGAGCACTCCATTGCCCGACGCCGGGGTGCCGAACAATACCCACTTCACCGCGTCAGAACCGCCAGCTTCCCAGATGAGCTCCTTGATGACGGCGCCGTGGAAATCGAACGGGAACCAAACCTCCTCGGTGCCAGTCAGGTGCCTGTAGAGACGCCGCTTCCTCGCGTGAATGGCGATCTTCTTCTGGGTCGGCCCCTCTGCGTTGCGCTCCCCGAGCGCCCCATCCGCAGCCGCGTCAGCCGCGGACGCAGACTCGTCGGGCGGCGCCATCATTGACCTCAGGCTGACATCGCGGACGTCCTTACTGACGAAAGTAAGATCTTTTGGGGCGCAGACGGGCACCTTGCTCATGACCTCGACGTACATGCGCGAACCGCGGTCCACGTACCACCGCTCCTGCGGGATCTTCGGGGGCATCTTCCCCTTCCAGCAAAGGAACAACTTCTCCGTGGTCTTCGAATTAGCGACGCCACGGCAAACTGTCCAATAGTATCGCTCCATCAGCCTGCTTTCGTAGACGAGGATAAACTCTTTCACCTTCCACCCTTTCTCCTTGAATACCTTCTTGATCTTCGCCTCGTTCGTGTCCACCCTGCCACCGAACACCCAGCATATATCCTGATTCCGCTTCATCACATTGTCAGTCACGTCGCAGAACCGTTTAAAATCGCCCTCGTCAACTGGTGGTTCTCGCTGGGTTAGGCACTCGCCCTCGAAAATGTTGCACAACTTGGCGTTTTTGGGATCGTACACGGCCACGAACCGGCCGTCGCCGCTCTCCAGGTTCGCGTGCAATTCCGTGGAGACCACGCTGGCACACAGCTCGTCGTGGCGCCCGTCCGACGTCAGAATGACCATCCGCGCCTCCATCTCCCGCTGGCAATGCGCCTCGATCTGCGCCTTGAAAGCCGCCTGCGCGTCAGGGGCAGTGCCTTCGGCGTGCTTCACCGCTGCCTCAGCTGACCCAGCCGAGGTCGCCGACGGGGGCGCCTCGGGGTCCGCCATATCGCTGGAGACTGTCTTCGGCGCTGCCTTTTTGTAGGCTACGATGAATTCAGCGTGGAACCGCTTCTTGACGCGGTCGGCCTCCCAGAACTTCTCCGCCGTGTACTTACCCGCAGTGATCGCGGACAATGCGCCTTTGATTTCGGGGGCGTACAGGCCGGAAAACACGTCCAGCGCGTGCGACATGAGCATTCGCGTGGTCTCGCGCGGCAGCGCCTGCAACCACGTCCTCCGCCTGTTCGGGCCCTCCAGGAGCTCGTGCATTGCCATCGGGTCGCCGAGGCACGCGCGCGCCGTGTCCCAGGCCGACGGCGGCGGCCGCGCACCAGCAGCTGCAACAGCCGCTGTACCGTCAGCTGCCTCAGTCGGGGCAAGATCATCAATGGGCTTCCGGAGCGCGTCGGGGAAAGTCTTCTGCAGGTGGACCGCGTAACGTCCGATCCACAGGCACTGCGCCACAATCCCGCCTTTGCCATCAAGTTGAGAGTCCGAGAACGGGTTCTTCTGCTTGGTCCGCAGCATATGCGCGAACAGCCACCTGCACGCGAAGGCGAGGCCGGAGTGCGTGTCGCACTGACGCACCAGCGTGAGAATCTTCGTGGGCCAGTCGAAAAGATTATCGCGACCGAAGTGCGCCCGGGCTCTGTCGACGATACAGCAGGCCTCGGAGTTCTTGGAGAGGACCTCGGCGCATTTCAGCAAAGTGCTCACAACCTTCACGCTCGGGACACGGAACATTCCCCAGTTGACGCGCCCCCCGGACGTCATCCATTGATGCACCTCTTCTGCGGAAGGTAAAGATTTGCCGATTTTCTTGTCTTGCAGTAACTCCCTCACTTTGGCACATACCATCATTAGATTTTTACCGTCCATGCCGAAATGGTCCCGCAGCCGCTCTGTTTCCAACGGGAAGTTCAGCGAGGCTTCCATGATCAGCTCCTCCACTGATTTCGCGACCTCCCCCGTGACTTGGAACAGGTGGAAATCGAAGGGCCAGTCGAGAATCAAGCGTTCAAGCGCGGCAGCTGCGTCAGCCGCCCCGTCTTTTTTGGCCCAGAAATACGCCAACCACGTTCCGTTGACGGCACAATCCAGGGCGTATCTGTCGAATTTCCCTTTCTCTGGTTCCGCCGTCGTCGACAGAATGGCAATCGGGATGTTATAGAATCGCGGCACTCGGGCGGGCACTTTCCAAGTCCGTTGGTCTTTCAGGGCCATATCGCGCACCGTCGCCGCAGAGGCAATCGCCGCCGCGCCCTCAGTGGCGTCGTTGCCAATACCACCAGCCCCAGCAGAGGTGCTCTGCGAGGCGTCGTGCGCGGTCGCGACGAGGTACATATCTGCGGCGAAGTTCTCCACCAGCTCCAAGGCTATGTCCTGCTGCAGAGCTGAATTTGCAGATGGGTTTGTCCAGCACAGGTTGCAAGACACGTTGCGGACCTCTCCTTTGGTGGCCAAACATTCGAACACCTTCTTGCCGTAGTGTGTCCCCGTGGCTTCCTCTTGTTTGGCTGGCCGTTCCAACAGCAGACGCTCGTAGTCGTCCTTGATCGCAGGCCATATGTCCGAAGTCCAGAACTCGAAGTACCGCATGGCGACCAGCTGATACAGCCGCGGTCGCCGCCTGCCCCGACCCTCTTCCCGAGAGAAGCAGAACGCGTCGCCCAGTTGTTTACCGAGCCAGCCTCGGCAACTTGAGCCGAAAAGCGGGGCGAGGTGCCCCGCCAGCCCTCTGGGTGTGGTACTGTTGTCCTTCCTCATCCAAAACCTTTTTACTTGCTGGGAGGGGTAGCCGCCCCCGCCCCTGCCTGATTGTTTCTTGGGGGAGGGGAGGCGCGGGGGGGCGGGGGGCGTGGGGGGCGGGAGGTGGCAGCAGGCCCTGTTCGCCCAATATGTTTTCCAGAGGCCCAATATGGACTCCAAGATGGGGTCCGGCTCGCTACAGCCGAAGAGCGTTCAAGCCAGCTTGCGACATTCCTGCCAAATCAGACCCAAGGGGGCCACAAAACGGTTCCACGGGCTCTCGAACGCCCCTCAGGAACGCCAGCTGAAACCACAAACCTTCGAAAACCGACATGGAATGTAAGATGCGTGCCCTCTCGCCGTTTCGCATCCGATGCGGTTTCGGGACCTCGAGATTGACCCGATACGGCCCACGAGGATCCAAAAGGGACTCCTGAGGCTCCTCAGGTGGCCCCTAATGGCTCCAAGAGCTCCCAATATCGCTTTCACAGGGCCAAGAGAAACTAAAAATACAGTTTGGAGGGCTCACGAAGGGGGGATTTCCCAAAGGAGCCGCCATCCTTTGATCGATTGCCTCCAAGATGACACAACGATGCGCCCCAGAATTCCCACGGAGGCCCCCAGCAGCCCGCGAAAAAAAAAGATGACTTCAAAACTCGAACCCCGCGGTCTAGCACGGCCGCGTTCTAGCCCAGGGCGCGCCCCGAAGGTTTAGAACGGGCGGGTTCTAGCCCAGGCAAGCCCCGAGAGTTTCGAACGGGCGGGTTCTAGCCCCGCCGCGGTCTAGAGTGGCGGCGTTTTAGCCCAGGGCGCGCCCCGAGGGTTCTGAACGGGCGGGTTCCAGCCACGCCGCGGTCTAGAACGGCCGCGTTCTAGCCCAGGGCGCGCCCCGAGGGTGTGGAACGGGCGGTCTAGACCGGGCGCGTTCTATCCCAGTGCCCCCCCGGCGGCGGGCGTCGAGCGACGGCGGCAGCGGGCGTCGAGCGACGGCGGCAGCGCCTGCGACTGCGATGACGAGGGGGTGGAGGAGGAAGAGGAGGATTCGAGTTGGAGTCCGTCCAAGGAGACGTGTTCTTTCGGTCAGATCGCCAGGCGCTGCGCGTCCGCTTCCTCGAAACAACGCGCGAGGCGCCTAGGCGACTCAGACGATCTCCAGAGAGCCGGGGCGGCGGCCGCTCGCGGCAGCTGACGCAGCCGCGGCGGCGGCAGCCCAGCTGATTCAGCCGCGGCGCCGTCGGCCCACATTTCGAGATCTACAAGGCCTTGCAGATGCCACCCTGCTGTCCAGGGGCATCCGCGTCGCGAATATGGTGGCATGCGCCAGCTGCTACAGCTGGCCCCTGTAATCCATGCAAGGTCGAGATGGCATCTCAAAATTCCACGAAGGTTCAGTTGCAGAGCCATTTGCCGAATGGCTTCTAGAAATGCGCTTTGTAACATTGTACACAACGCCAAATACCCTTCTTCGACTTGATCCAACTATCGGGCAAGTCGGGAACAGGACAGACGCGACCACAAGATGCAAAGCAATTGCTATTTGATCGGCACCAAAAGAAAGAGTCTGTAGTTTTGCCGCCGCACATGACTAAGCGTTCATGCGCATCATTGAAGAGTACTCTCTTCTTCAGGCAATTATGATTCATGCGCAACTCGCTCAAAGTGTGCAGACGATGCCAGGCGTGGTATTCAACGACGTCAAAGAGGACCTGCAGTGGACCGAACTGCAAGGAGTCTCCAACCTCGCCTTTAATGACCCACTTTCGTGCGTTGCCAACTCTGCCACATTTGCTTAGACGCGTCTTGTCAACTGGAAAAGCAAGCACCACTGGCATCGACCAGCATGATGGCGCCCCAAATGTCCTCCACTCGGTGCAGAGGAATGACTTTGCGCGGTCCCTGGCGTGCATGAAGCCAGAGGGCAGAGGCAGGATTCCATCATGATGGTCAGGTCCGATGCAGAATACGCCCCTTCGGCCATTGTCCGTCGATGGCCCCGCTTTGAAACCCCCTTGTGTGATCAGCAATGCCGT